GCCCCTCCGTATATATCACAGTCTGCACTATGAGATCGATCAAGCCCATTCTCTGTGTGCTTTTCACACAGGTCTGAGCTTTGAGGACCCAGCACTCGGTGAACATTGATGCAGCGGGTAAGCTCTGCTCAACGGTGCTTGGAAGAAGCCTGGAAGCATCACCATTCTTCCTACCAATCAACAGAGCACGTCCAAATAAAGCAGACTGGTGCCCAAACTGGCCTGGCTTGCGGCCTTAGATCTTTGTGTGAAGTCTAGGAAGCTTAGGATTGTAGAAGGAAAGAACTGGTTTCAAAGTCAAGAATCTTGGATGCTACTCTTAGCTCTCCAACCCTCCTGCACCTGTTTCCTGATTTCTCCAGTAAGTGGGGAAGCATAAAACAATCTCTAAGGTTCTTCTAGCTCTAAAGTCTCCTGATGTTCAACACAATAAATTTCAATCAGAGATCAGATTGATAAGCTGTAGTGCTCTGACTCATCATGATTTATGATACTTCGGAAGGCTGAGTGCCTGTAACAGAAACGGGCCACATGCCCACATAGTTGTACACTTCTGAAGATCTAACATGGTCAGTGGGCACAGAGCCAGAGCACCACAAATGCTGCCATACACCGCAGCTTTAACACAGCTAAGAGTGATTCCACATTGTGCCCGTTCAGTCTGACAGGCACACACTTGTTTTCTGTGGCTTTGTCTTAAACTGAACATGGGTCTTATTTTGTCTATAAAGGTTTCCCAAACTTCACTAGGTCATAGTCTCATCTCAGGGGATAGTGGTTATGGTCAAAAACATATAATGTAGAACTGCAGTATTTAATACATTAGCTATTAGACACATGTGGCTATTTAATTTTAAAATTAGTTAAAAATTCAATTCCTCAGTAGCCCTACCCACATTTCCAGTGTTCAACAGCCACATTTTGCCATTGGATCCCATACTGGACAACACAGATTACAGAACATTTCCAGCACTGCACAAAGTTCTACTGGGCAGCACTGACTTACTCTAGAACCTGATCTTAAAAAGTTGACCCTTGAATTTTCTAAGAGACAAATTTCAAGGGTTGCCCAAAGGCAGTAGAGCTATAAATTCCCCCATATAAAGAAAGCAGGGAGCCCGGCCGGGCGTGGCTCAGTGGTTGAGTGTCAACCTGGGATCCAGGCGATCGGGGTTCAATTCCTGATCAGGGCACAGGCCCAGGTTGTGGGCTCGATCAACGACTCTCTCATCATTGATGTTTCTATCTCTCTCCCTCTCCTTTCCTCTCTCTGAAATCAATAAAGATATATTTTGGAAGGAAGGGAGGAAGGGAGGAAGGGAGGAAGGGAGGAAGGGAGGAAGGGGGGAAGGGGG